AGGGTTCACCGTAACGAAAACGATCAACCATTTTCTATTATCCTTAAAGCTAACGGGGCGACCCTTCTCTGATCGATTAAGCGCTCGCCTCTTGCTAAAATTATGTACGTTTATCTGTTATTTTTTTTTTTAAGGTCGATACTTTTCTTCGTCGATGTATTTTCAAAAAAATTCAATGATAGTTTCTCTCTGTTTCTATTTTTTTTTTTTTTTTTTTTTTTTTTTTTCCTTTGACGAAGAAATTAAGGAAATTAGCTCGAGTTAACTCTCTTCTGGATTTTAGGTAGAGTGTCCTTTTTCTCGAGTTAATTCAAACACGGTGTGCTTTTTAATTTAAAACGAAAAGGCTATATTCACGTAACAGAACTTACGTTTCTTTGTTTTCTCGACTATTATAGTCAATTTATTGTGAGGCGATATTTTTTGTTCTTGCACTAAGTCGATAATTTAAAAGATAGACCTGATTTTTTGTTAAGTTTTTTAAAAATAAGTTGGTCCTTAAACGAATTAATGATTCATCTAATCTTTTTTTAGAAAATTATATATTGTAGTCTATTAGTTGTGTCAAGCGTATTTATAATAAGAAACAATGTATATAAAATAAAAAAGTATTAAAATAATTCTACTAAAATAAATACTAAAATAATAAAGTAATTCGTTAAAATAAAAAGTATCAGAGTAGTTGAAACAATTTCATGATTTCAAATACCACTTATCCAAGCTTGAAATTATAGTATTTGATATATATATATATATATAAAATTAATATATAATATATATATATAATTAGCAAAGAAAAATTAATTCTTTCCCTGTAACATCCATAATTTACGTTTGTTAGGCTGGTCGATTGAAATTTGCATTTAACAAGCGTGAGAGTATTATCGCGAATGTCGAAATCAATATTTTTATATGGATAGGTACAGCTGATCGTGCGATGTGCATTAATACACGCAAATTTCAATTTTATATTTTCTCCTTCTAAAGTAATGTGAGTAAAAATTTTTATATTAATAACATTTATAGTACTATTTATTGGTGGTACTAATATAATTAATAACATCGATATAAATGTCATATTTCTGTTTACAAACGAGCTCTCGTGTAAATGCGGTAGAATAAATTGAACAAAGAACGATTACAATTGTGACAAAGAACACATAAACAGTTCAGAAATAGTTTATAATTCGGATCAAAAATCAAAATATAGTCGATTAATAAATGTATAATATATTCGTAGCTACTTGTTCTAAATAATTCTAATAACATAGTTTTAGCAACTTTAATATAATTTTACATATTTTAACAAGCATTTTAGTGATTAGAAATATTTGTTAATAAAGAAACTCCTCTTTTTGAGAGGAATTGTGCGATCACAGTTCTTATTTCTAATAATTTTTAATTATTTTTCTAAGATGTTTGTATTCGATGTAATTTATATTCACATAAATAATTACAGAAGTACACATATATATATTACAAATATGAATCCACAGACAACTTTATCAAACAATTTTATTAAGATAGATGATTTTTATTTTGATCATTCACAACTTCAAGTCAATTAATCGAGTATCACAGACACGACGCTTGTATTTTATATTTTCGTGATTTTAATTTTTCAGTGCGAATAAAATCTCTTGATATCTTGATATCTTTTCTTTTCATCTATCTTAGACACATAGCAAATAAATGAAATGTTATCTTGCATCGAATACTTACACGTGTATATACACATATGTGTTAATGTTATTATAATAAATAATATTGTGTATAATGTATAATATTAATATCATTACATATTACTGTTAATATTTTATATTATAATACAAGTGTTAATATTTTCAATATTTTATATTATAATATTTTATATTATAATACAAGTGTTAATATTTTCAACGTGTAGCTATTCATACAATTAGTATTACAAAATTCATTTCGTATCACAAATATATTTAACAAATATTAATTTGTTGCTACCGTATGTACCAATAAATTTATTCAATTTCAAAGAAACGTCGAACGCCTCCTAATTAATCTATCTGTATTTCAAAAAGGAAATTTTGTATTGCATATTTATCTTGACGCTTATCTTTGTAGTAAATAAGCTTTGTAAATAAGCTTTCACTATGGAGAAAGGCAGCATCTGTTGAAGTAGCAATTACTAGCACGCTGGCATAAAATTTTATAGCTTCCACCGTTAACATTCTAGACGATAACATTTTATAACACAGTTTTTCTTTGCTGTCCTCTCGCTCTATTTACTTTAAAAACAGATCCAAAGTATATCAAATGATTCCATCCAAGTGACACAATTTTTTTATCTCTGCAGTTTGATTTTATTTTTTACACGATAAAATCAAACGACGATCATCGAAATTTCAACAAGCAGAAAGATCGTAGATAGCATTAACACAGAAATGATCTCGATGCTAATGAATCAGGAAGGAATCTCGTTTTGTCATGACAGGGATCAGTCGTGCACAAATGGAAAATTCTTTCGTTAACTCAAATTATTTTCCAAAGTCAATATCTGATGATTTTTGTTTATTTCTACTGTTTAAAATTATTGAATAATACATCAAAACTATATATATAGTAGACATAATTTGAAAATTATTGAATAATACATCAAAACTATATAGTAGAGATAATTTGAAAATTTTTCTGTTACTTGACCTGTCCTTTAAACTCAGTTCATTCATAGATCTTTATTTATTTCCATTACTTAAGTCAGAATATTAAAAATGTTCCTAATTAAAAGTATTCCTGTTTCTGTTCTCCAAATTCAGTATCGATGTTAAAAAAATGCCCTCAAAACTACAACTTAAATAACAATAGAGAAGATGAGAAATAATTTTGGAAAGAGTGGATGATATAATATTGCTTAATAGATACAACGAACCTTCTACACCGTGAAATCGAATGTTTTTAAATTCTGCAGATAACCAAGTTGGTTGACAGAAAATTCTCAGCTATTCAAAAGTATAACAAAGGTGGTCTTGTCCTTAAATACGCAGTCACTTTCCCACAAATATTTGGCGTTTGCGATATTTACGAAACGCATAAAAAAAAAAAAAAAAGAAATGATCGAACCGCAATAATGTGAAAAATGATGACAAAATGTTTCCCCCGTTAAACACGTGTGGAGAAGAAACCAGAGCACATGAATGCACTGAACTTTATCGAGAAGAACGTGACGTAGATGTTGATAAAAATCACTGTGCTATGTAAGCGCATACTTGCTTTTGCGATACGCGTAGCGCGTGTACTACATACGTACGCGAATACACAAAGAGATAGATCAATATCCCGTGATCTAGACCTTTCTGAATGCACCGAAAGTATATGAAAGTGGAAAAGGGCGGCGAAAGGAATTCCTTTCTCTCGAGCGCGAGCGTCTTTTACGTTTCGCCAAAATTGAAAGCAGAGCGCGCGCAGAGCTTTCAAGAGGAAAATTACGCGATAAAGAATTGCAAAGTGATTCACGAAAATATTCGGTTATACGAGGATTTATATATACTTAGGAGTGTTTTTGTCAAAACAGCGCAAGTCTCTTGGAAGCCATGATTAAACTATGTTTTTCTTTTTTTTGTCAGAGCTTCAAATTAGAGTCTCGTAGGTGTAAGATTAATCAAGTTCTCAGATTTTTAATCAGATTAAACAGTTACAATTAATTAATAAATAAGTAAACGAAATTATATAAATTATATAAATAATTATATAAATAATTATATAGATAATTATATAAATAATTATATAGATAACTATGTAAATAATTATATAGATAATTATATAAATAATTATATAGATAACTATGTAAATAATTATTTAGATAATTATATAAATAATTATATAGATAACTATATAAATAATTATATAGATAACTATATAAATAATTATATAGATAACTATATAAATAATTATATAGATAATTATATAAATAATTATATAATATAAATAATTATACAAATAATATTATAGAAACCTCAAAGAACAAATGATTCATTTCTGCAAATTCACTTTGTCATTACGTTCTAAGATAAATTTATTACAAAGGACAATTCAGCAAATTTCAATTCAATCGCCCCGATCATTGGATCGACTCTGTATTTTCATATTTTATCAGCGTTATTTTACAATGACATTTTCCTTTTCTTTTCTGCGATATAAAAGACGATATATAACAAATTTATTCGCAAGCGTTCGAGTTTCTCAAAAGAGAAATGTTGCTGCATGTTGCGAGAATTGGAAAAATAAGTTGCACAGTTTGATCGGGTGTATAATGTAATAATAAACGTAGAATCGGATGCGTGGAGTTGCATCGAGTGACTGGTTAGTTGCTCAATCATTTCCCTCGCTCGTCATCGATGGCGTGACGACATTCTCGCGTGAAAGTTTGTTTCCCTCCCTCGTGAAATACCTTTTGCTTAACGACAATGGACACTTGGCGAGGAGAGAGAGAGAGAGAGAAAAAAAATTAATCTTGCGTGCAAACGATCGCGAATGAAAAGAGCACGTTGCACGCAAAGCAACAGGTCAGCGAGTTTATGTCAGTTTTCATAAAAATTTCCTTCCTTCTCTGTGCAAACTGCAATATACATTCCCGCGTATAACAGTATACAGTGTATCTCGTGTGTTATTTAAAGAAACGAAATTATGGTTGCTAATTGCCCGATAATGACTTCGCGATTTGTTACGTAAAAACAGAGCTGAACTGGCTGATGTTTTTAAATGGAGAAATACGGAAACAGGAAACAGTTTGAAATTTAATAGATCGAAATTTTGTTTCCCAAAGTTTAAGACAGTAATTTAAAATTCAAGTATTATTAAAAATATAATTCTATTATTTAGTATTGAATATAAGTTTTTGTCATTTGGTAGAATTTAAGTTTATTAAGAATATAGGTATTTAAAATATAATTTGTTAAAGATGTAATGGTGTATTTAAAATGACAAGTGAGAATTGAATTTGTTAGGCGGATGAATTAGATTGAGGCTTCGAGTAACAATTTATTTCCACTAATATTTGTTTGACAGACGGTTAGAGATTCGTTGGAAAAGAAGGCACTGGTTTGAGACGTTCAGTCTTCCAAATTTTGGTCTTATTTCCATGTCTTTCTTTAACATACGTACCGCATACCGCTTTAAATTCAAACCGATACGATTTACGATATTTGTATAATACAAATATATTTTTTATAATTTATGTAAATTATAAATTTTATAAAAAGTATATTTGAATGGTATATTTTTATAAAAATATCGTAAACAATTACTTTAAATATAAAGCGTTGGAAATTGAAGATTCATAAAATATGGATTTTATGTAAAAATTATTTGTTATATAGCACGTAGCTAATAATGAAGATTCGATGCACAATAAGCTAACAATAAGGTGCTGTGTACACTAATTAAATTTCTCACTTAAATTTCGATGTAACCTACAATTCTAATTGAATCGCGTTGATTATTGTGATGGTTGATGCAGCATTAAAGAATCAAATAAAAAAAGAAAAAAAGAGCCAAGGCTTCTTCAATGATTGACATTATCGTCGACAAACACATAAATTGGTCAATTACAATAAATAATTATTTCGTGACGTGTATTTATCGAAAATTTAAATTTTCTTTTTTTCTTTGAAATTCCCTTAAAATTTTCTACGTATGTAACATGTAAAAATGTAATAATACACGCGGCATAGAATATTCATTGAAACGTTTAGTCTCCACGTCGTTTCAAAAATATAAATATTCATATGTCTAATCATTGAAAATTGTCTTACTCTTGGTCTTTGGTAAGAACTTGGCAATCTATCGATAAAAGTTCGTCTATCGACAAAATTAAATCGCCAAAGACGAAAGTGGTAGACTGCGGATTTTTATACATTTCTATATTACAATTTAGGAAACTTTCGAGGGTAAAGACAAAAATACATAGCATACAAAAATAATACAAACCGTCCAAAGAATGGTAATTACAGCGAAACAATCCATTTCTTTACACAAAAATCCGCAGTTGGACGATTATCCGCAGAGAACGACGAGAAATCAAAGTACACGGGCGTGTACGCGCGTTTAATCGCGACGCAAGCAATTTGCAATCCGCGATTCAATGAGAATTTTCCTTGCCGTTTTCCCCTTGATTCAGCTTCTCCTTCTCCTCTCTGTCGGCTAGTTGATTCAAGGTTACCTCGCAACTGACGTCGCTCTTCCTCCTCGAGCGTAGACACGCGGCGAAGCACGTGTCGTGTTTGCCAAAGTTCTCGCCGTCCTCGATGGTCTCGGGCATCGGTTGGTTCACCGTCTCCGGCAGGTACAACGACAAGAAACCGGCGACCAACGCGACGAAGCCGAACAGCGCCGCGGGCACTTTCGGGTTCAGCGAGTTGAGCAGCATGATCATCGGCGTGAGAGCGCCGCTGAAACGGGCGCACATGGACCCAATGCCCAACGCGGTGTTCCTCACCACCGTCGGGAACAGTTCGGCGGTGTAGTTGTAAATGACCGCGAACGAGCCAGCGATGCAGGCCTTGCCGAAGAGGACGATCGTGACGATGATCGCGGCGGCCAGATCGATGTCGGTCGGTATGCTCGATGCGACGATGCAGCAGACGCCGCCGATCAGCATGAACGTGCTGACCACGCACCTTCGCCCGCTGCGGTCCATCAGGAAGCACATGAGCAGGTACGAGGGCAGCTCGACCAAACCGCTGAGGAACAGCATGAGAAACGGATTGCCGACGAGGTTGCCCGTGTTCAACGACAGGCCGTAGTAAACGATGGAATTGGCGAACCATCCGAAGCAGACGTTCAACGTTTTCCTCCGTAGGTTCGGCGTCTTGAACAGATCGAGGGCACCGTGCGAGCGCCTCTTCTCCACGACGTGGCTGACCTTCCTCTCGCCGAGCAGCTTCTCCGCGTCGATGTCGACGGTGTCGTTGCCGTTCATCTTCAAGCCTTTCCGTACGATGGCCACCGCCTCGTTGACGCGACCTTGGGCCCAGAGCCACCGCGGCGACTCGTCCATGAGCCACCAGTGGCCAACAAGTAGCGCGCTGTGAAGGCCGTACGCGATCTGCAGCCACATTCTGTCCTTGATCACCGCGCCCCAAACGGCCACCAGCATGAAACCAACGGCGAACGCCAGGTGGAACATCATCCCGCAGACGGTCCTCTTCGTCGCGCCGACCAGCTCCATCGTCAGCACGAATCCAGTTATGTAGGCACCGGCCGAGCCGAAGATACCGTACATGAACCTCCACACGAGGAATACGTAGAAGTCGTTGATCAACGCGACCGTCACGCCGAATATCAATTGGGCAACCGCCGACACGCAGAATATTATCTTCCTGCCGTACTTGTCCGCCAACGTGCCCAACGTCACCGCCCCGATGAACACGCCGAACATGTAAGAGGATTGGGCCGCCGCGCCCATCCATCGCCGCGAGCAAACCGAGTTCCATTCCATCGCGCGCGACGTTTGAAAATACCGCGTGTCGTAGGTCCACGACTCGCATTGCCTGACCACGTTCTCCGCGTCCGAGTAGTAGCACGCGTCGATCGCTCGTGGAACAAGGTCCTCCGTCGCGTCCGAGATGTTCCATTTGGTCGAGTTGATCGCGTTGAACGGCGATCGAGGGACGTTGCAAGTGTGCGGTGGAACCGCTGCCACTGTCAGCAGCGTCATCATGTGCAGGCCGGCTGTCAGCCCGCCGAGAATGTGCAACGAGAATTGCCAGCGTTGATATTTACCAAACTCACCGAGGTGAGCCATCAGCTCCTCGAGATTCCTGTCGACGCTCGCCATTTTCACGCCAATTTCTTCCTCCTGCTTGTCGTGGTCGTTTCCTCGTTGTGATCGGTGTCTATCCTCTTGATAGTTAAGTGGTTTCTTGATTAATTTAGCTCGCGATCGCAGATTGATCTTGTTCACCGCTTCTTCACCGCCAGTGTCACACTCAGTTTCAGACGAGTTCCTTCGTGACCTTCATTACCCGGGACCATTCGACGAAACTCGATCGAACTCGTTTTTGGATCTCGCGTTGGATCGGTCTCTCGAGAGATGAGACGAATTCGCGACGAAGGTTAAAAGTAACGCAACATTGCGTGGATGTTAGAACCGCGCTGTTCTAATGCCCACGGACAACTGGATAAGACTGACTAGAACTGCCAACGTGAACAACGGATCGAACGGATTTGTCGTGTGCGGAGAATGCGTTGGACTTCTTCTGTTTGTTCTCTCTCTTTTTTTTTTTTTTTTTACAAAATTCACGGCTATTCCCGAAGCCTGGTTTAGCCGTCTATTTTCCTCCTTGGACGTTACGCTCCACCTGATGCTGATTCTGCGTGCTTTACGTGGTAACCCTGGGAAAGAAATAAGAAAATATAATAGGCATTCCGAGGATGCAGCTTGATATCGTTTTAGAATTCTTTGAAAAAAGTTAATAATACTTGGAAGTGAGTATTCAGTGGAAATTGTGTAATTGCGAGGGAATAGAAGCAGGATAAATTTGTATCGTTGTTTAACATTTGAAATTCGTTTCGTCAAATGAAAATTTCCCTTTGGAAAATCGCAGATTTAGGTAGATTTGCATTTTTATTAACTTTATTATTTCTCTTGGAATTATTTTAGGAGATTGAAGATATTAGGAATGTAGAAAGTATTCAGAAAATAAAAGAGAGATAATTCATACGTTCGAAGGTGCACTCTGATTTCGTTTTGATAATCCTCTTTCGTTTCGATGATTCGTTTTTAAAACGTTGCAGATTACCAACGAGATTTTTGTTGTTTTATTCGTGAAAATAATCAAATTTTAATTACACGGCAAGAAAATAATATTCGATACACTCATCACATAACTTTCGCATGAAAGTTTCTTAGAATGCAATAACAACAAGAATGATACCTTTCTTGCGCATTTATTTCAAAATTTTCTTTCTCCTTCGATTATTCATACAAAATCGTAATCGGAGATTTTTTAAACTACTTAGAAATATTAAAGCGGATAAAATTAAAGCAAACGATATTTAACACTAGAACTACCATCAAATGATGAAATATAATATAATATAATATAATATAATATAATATAATAAAATATTATAATAAAATTATAATAAAATATAATAAAATATAAAATCTAATATAATTAAAATAATTAAAATATAATATAAAATAATATAATAAAATATAAAATATAATATAAAATAATATAATAAAATATAAAATATAATATAAAATATAATATAATTGGTCAAAATGACCAATTTATAATTTTAAACAGACAAACAAAACATCGCGTTTCAAATGATTTTTAAAATGTGTAAAAAATATTACAAAATGCACTATAAAGCTTTTCTATCTTTTATTTTAACGTTTCTGAAATTTTACGCCTCAATCGTTGAAAGTTTTAGTATTAAGTAACATATTCACAAATCTATCAACATTTAATTCAATAACGTGCTATTATCACGCAGAATCGTTCAGAATACTGCGAATGAAATGAAAATAAAAATTGGAGGAAAATAAATTTAATTAATTCAATGATAAAACACAATTTTACAGTTCGAATGAAATTACTAGTATAATATATAATCAATATTATTAATATAGTATTAATATAATTCATAGTATTTAAATATTTCAGAAACGTTTTAATTTTTTCAAATGCTCCATACGTATATTTACATATGATGATTAGATGATTATTTTTCTTGTAGAATACTACTATCATCCGACCTCTAAATGATATTTTAGATTCAGAAGATACGAAGTCGATAATTTGATATTTTGTTATAAGATACTGATATTTATGTCAGTCTAAAATTGCATTTTGCACGCGTCTTCTCGAGATAACTAACCGCATGCCACAGATGGACAATTGGCACGTCGAATAAGACAGGCGTGGCAGTACTTTGCCGGAAGTGGTCAACCGTAGATTGATAAATTGTTTTAGATGGCGTTATAATTTATTTAACCAAGTATACAGCCTCACTTTTACTAATTTACTAATTTATATTTATATTGTATGAAAATAATCGTAAGATCGGAACAAAGTGTGAAATGCTTTTAATTTAACTTTTGAAAATAATCAGTATTGTCCGTTGCATGTGCGTCATATGTATCAGAGTTTAATACAACTTTAATCCAAATTTAAATAAAAATAACACGAAGTATACGATACGATATTATAACTTTATTGTTTCAACATATTTGATGAAAGTTAGATACCGCGGAGAGCATAATTGAGCCAGTAACGATGAAAAATTATAATTAAACTAAATTAATTTATACTAGTATAATTTATAATTATAATAATATATTATAATATAATTTAATAATATATTATAATATAATTTTAATTATATTATAATATATTATAATATAAATATAATATAATTTATAACTAGATTAACTTTAAATTAAATTATGTAATTCTTTTAAACAAAAATTTATACTAATTAAGTGGATGCTTTAAAAACTTAAAAGGTTAAAATGTCCTGATACTATGCAATATGATAGATACTATGTAACTTTCACGGCGCTCGCAAAATTTCGATTGTTACATACGTGATGCCCTAATAAATTAATTTACGTACTACATTCTCGCATTTTTTCCCCTTTTCCTGTTCTCAAGTGAAACACTACACTGGAAAATTATATTCTAAAACCTCTCGCAGCGCGTGCAGTATCGAAACTGAAAGTGGAGTCGCGTTATAATCTTGACAGCTTGTACGCCTGATGCCTTATCGCTGTTACACCGCACGGATATCGCTGATTTCTGCGGCTGAAAGTCACATAATTGTCCCACCCGTTTCGAAACAGTTTCCACAATTCAATGTCATTTCCCTCTAGACAGATTGTGAAAAGAATGAACACACATCACGATGTGCAAACGATTATTTTAGAATCTATGAAGCTTTGTTTCTCATCACTCTTGTGACCTCTCTGCACTCTGCAGGAGTGTGTTACCAACTGATATGTAGACTAGTTTGTTTCAACTATTTGCAATTTATTCGCCAAACTTGATCAATAATTTGCTAATACGTAGTCAAAAATTATAGTGTAGAGTAAAGACTTTATTTTCATAATTTAAATATATTATATATAATTGTTATATGTATTATTAATAATTGTGATATTAATATTATATATATTATTATATAATTATTATATTATATATAACATATTAAATATATTATATATTATATACATTGTTATATAATTATTATATTATATAACATATTAAATATATTGTATATAATGTACGTTATTATATAATTATTACATTGTTATTATATATATATTATATATATATTACATATTATTTATTATATACATTATTATATAATTATTTTATTATATATAACATATTAAATATACTATATATTACATACGTTATTATATAATTATTAAATTATATATAATATGTTAAGTATATTATATATTATATATTATATACATTATTTTATAATTATTACATTATCTATAATATATAATATACTTAATACATTATTTTATAATTATTACATTATATATAATATATTAAATATATTGTATATTATATACATTATTATATAATTATTACGTTTTATATAATATATTAAATATATCATTATATAATTATTACATTACGTATAATATAATAAAATATATTATATATAATTTTAATTGGCTGTAATTGTAATTTTGGAAGCTTATTTCCAAAGTCTGTCGTTCGATTCGTTAAACAATATTAGTTACTGCCGCTGATAATTTACGACTGGCACAAACTTTTCCAACAAAATTTCACCAACGATATAATTGTATCATAATATGACAAAACTTTCTTTATTAAACTTTTTCTTTCTCTTTAAAAAATCGAGTAATACGCACGACGCAATATAACCAATGGGATTTCTTGCTTTCAAGAAATTTTCTTAAATTCACTCTCGCTTCGAGCGTTGCCACATACGCTCCGATGGTTTCACAATTTTCGAGATTTCCTCAGTCCTATTTTCTAAGAGTGTCCCGTGTTACGAAAAAATTTCGTCAAGCCTGATCTTCTGCTACAGATACCCGCGATAGATCACGAGGCCAACGAAATATCAATTGCTCGTCGTGGCCAATTTCTCTCGACTCGATTGACCGATACTGCGGTAGCAACGAAACTGTCTAATTAATTCCAATGAACCCGCATGGTAGGAAATGGAAATGAAACGCACAAGGCACATTGTTGCCGCTGTAATAAATTATCGCTTTTGACATTATCACTTGCTTGTTTGCGTCTGCGTGCGTGTTAATATTCATTCCTTTCCAGTTATGTCCAATAATAATCAAGCTTGTCCAAATCACCAATTTGGATTTATTCTTTTCTTTTTTCTTTTTTTTTTCTTTTTTTAGAAAATAGAGCTGCATAACACGAGTCGAGTGCAAGAGCTTCTAGTTACACGTTTTAACGAAAAATAAAATTTGCTTCGCTAATCTATGAAATTTCCAATAATAATTATAAGTCGCTTCTAATGTTAAGAAAGCCAATATTAATTAAGAATGTATTAGAGAAATTTTTTTTTGTAAAATATTTTGAAATTTCAGTTTTTTCACCGCTACGAAACGTGATTGTATTAAGCATGTTTAAAAAACGGGAGAAAAATCTTTTTCTCATTGTTCGGAAACAGACGTACTGAAATTTATAACGACACATTGATAACGCGAACTCGCAACGATCGACACCAAACATTTACTTCTCGTCTTTCTGTTGTGTTACGAGTTGGATGATCGATCAGAACGTGTCAATCGGCATTCACAAATGAAAGAGTAATAGTCTTCGTTCGTTGAACAAATTATTCAAAAGTAATGAACATTTGTTACAATCAAGCGAGATGCGAAACGCGCGAGTTTGGAAATATACAAGAATAATTGAATCTGAAAATGCGAGCGGCGAATATATTTGTATAACAACGAAGCCTCGACCGTTCAGTGAAAAACATTTACAATTCTCCATCTCAACAGTGTTTCGTGTGTTATTTTACCAAAAAAAAAAAAAAAAAAAAAGAAAAAACAGAAAAACAAAATAAAGAAACGGAAGTTAATTTCATAAGAAATGATGGAGAAACTTACGAATTTGGAACAGGCGGGGCTGGTTGTTTGCTCTGGTCGTTTACTGACGGGAATAAACTCGAACAATGGCCAATTGAACGATGCGCAGCGCCGCCAATTTTTCAAGCTAGCCGACCCCTTCTCCAATTATGAAACGTCTTTCAATTCCAACCTTCGGATTAATTGATGGGAAGACGAAGGTGCTTTGTGTTTGGTGCCGCACGAGCCGCGCATAGATAGTTGTTGGATCGAGACGTGTCTTATGACTGACGCGTGGGATACACCGGAGATAAACTGGAGCAAACCGTTGCGAAAGGTTTTAGATGGTTCTGCACCACGTGTAATTGCTTCGCTTTGCCCCTCGAAACACTTCAAAGATTATGGAATATTTGCCACGAACAATCTATAAGTATGTCGTGTAAAGAGACTCAACGAGATATTGGATTTCCATCTTCGATACGGGGGGAATATCAAGTCCATTGTTTTTACGTCACAGCGCTTTTAATTATTAACACGTTAGACAATTCTGATTGTTTCTTAACCGTAGACTGCTAAATTATACTTATATGAGAAACATTAATTATTATATTATACTAAAATTATATTATCCTAAATTATACTTATATGAGAAACATTAATTATTAATTTAAAATTTCTTTAGTTTTAGTTTAAATATTATTTAATTATTAATTTACAAATTTATTTAATTTTAATTTAAAAATTATTTAATTATTAATTTACAAATTTCTTTAATTTTAATTTAAAAATTATTTAATTATTAATTTACAAATTTCTTTAATTTTAATTTAAAAATTATTTAATTATTAATTTACAAATTTATTTAATTTTAATTTAAAAATTATTTAATTATTAATTTACAAATTTATTTAATTTTAATTTAAAAATTATTTAATTATTAATTTACAAATTTATTTAATTTTAATTTAAAAATTATTTAATTATTAATTCAAAATTTCTTTAATTTTAATTTAAAAATTATTTAATTATTATTTTAAAATTTCTTTAATTTTAGTTTAAAAATTATTTAATTATTATTTTAAAATTTCTTTAATTTTAATTTAAAAATTATTTAATTATTAATTCAAAATTTCTTTGATTTTAATTTAAAAATTATTCAATCAGAATTTAAAAAAATTATTTAATATTAATTAAAAATTTATTTATGTTTAGATAATTTAAAATTAATTTTGATCTGATCAATCTTGTCTCGAGTAACCCATAGTCATGTAGAAAGATTTTGGTGGATATTGACATCTTCGAAAAATATTAAATTTAATGTAGACAATCATTAATCTGTTAATAAATTTCTGAACATTTCTTAACCATAAACTGCTACAATTATAAAATTATAGTAACCAACAGAAATAAATTAATTCTGGTCTTGTGTCATGTAAAAAAGATGATCTAAAACATATAAATTGGAATATTAAGTTCAACTTCTTTATATCATAGGATCATTAATTATTAACTTGTTAACTAATTTCGTTCGTTTCTTATCAACAGATGCTAAAATGATATAATTAGTAATTATATAAAAACAAATTAATTCTGATCTGATTGATTTTGTCTCGAGCAATTTGTAAGTGTGTCGCGTAGAAAGATACAGTGATGTACAGGTAGATAGACTAGTAAGATAGAAAGAGATAAGTTCGATAGAAAGACTATTAAATTCAATGTTAATTCGATAGGAGGACTATTAAATTCAATGTTAAATTCCTCGCGTTATAATATTGGCAATTGTTGATTTGTTTGATTACACACTGGCTCGTTATTTTTCAATATTTATTGTTTAATTCAAGTTATAATTATACGAAGATGGTCATTTAGGATGTTGTTATCAATACAATGTGACAGATGTTCGCGATTAATTTTTAATTAGAATTGTAAAAAAGAAAGGAGAACATACTTGAATTATGAGTAATACGATTGCAAGAAGATTTAATAAACACTTTTCCTGTAGCAAAAGTAGCGTAGAAGCGAAACTCTTGGTTGCATGAATTAAATCAATATAATGGACGCTGTCATACTTGCACACTGGTACTTCATGCATATTTATAAACATAATTATAACGTGATACGTTATTGTTTATAACGTGATACGATTTCGCTTTGTACAACTATCATTTAAACATTTGAAGTTTTCCAAGAAACGTTGAGATTTCGCATTTAATTTTAGATTATATATTTAAATTACAATTAACTTAAAATGGTAATAATAATATAATTATTCACTATTTTTATAATAATAGTAATATTATTTTATATTAATAGTAATTAATTTTATTTTATATTGATGATAATAGTATTTTTATAATAATAATATAATTATTTACTATTTACTTAAAATGGCAATAATAATATAATTATTTACTATTTTTATAATAATAATAATATTATTTTATATTAATAGTAATTAATTTTATTTTATATTAATGGTAATAGTATTTTTATAATAATAATATAATTATTTACTATTTACTTAAAATGGCAATAATAATATAATTATTTACTATTTTTATAATAATAGTAATATTATTTTATATTAATAGTAATTAATTTTATTTTATATTAATGATAATAGTATTTTTATAATAATAATATAATTATTTACTATTTTTATAATAATAGTAACATTATTTTGTATTAATAGTAATTAATTTTATTTTATATTAATAGTAACAGTATTTTTATAATTATAATATAATTATTTACTATTTACTTAAAATGGTAATAATAATATAATTAACAGGATACGATTGTGCATAGAATTATTTTTAACTATTGTAAATACGTTTCTTTCGCGACTGATTTTTTTCAAGAAGTTTCGGGATTTTATATTTAACTTAAGCCTCGAGTAAATTTCCATTTCTTTAAATATGACAATAGTAATACGGTTAACAGAATATAATAACGTACAAAAACTATGTCTTTTTTTCCTCTACAAACGTGAAATAAAGCGTTGAATTTCCCAACTGGTTGAAGCAAACGATTAGAAAGGAACAATTACGCCATAATTCCTCGCAGACGTGTGGCAATGATTCTTGGAAGGGAAAGTGATTGTTTTACTACTTACTTATTCATAGTTTATGCGATAATTCCATCTGTGTAGTAGTGAATACGTGCATGCATTTGTCGAACAGCACAACGTTTCATTCAAAACTGTCAAACTGCAACGTTATTCGAAACAGTGACAAGGCATACTCGGTTGATAAAGAAATAATTTTGTATTTGTGTATACGCGAACGAATTATACGTTATCGCAAATATTTTTATTTAGTTTACGGTTAACAAGTATAGAAAGTGGGTGCATGATAACCTTCGATCGACCGACACTTTTTATTTTTCATACATTCGTTAAGTTTCATTTAAATAACAAGATATGCAATCGCATTTCTTTACGTTGTATTTATTTGCACGCTGCACTTTTAATATACATCGGGATGTGACGTGTTGAATTTCGCAGTGAAGAGAATTTAATGTATGGGTAATTTTCCGTACGCGTAATCGAAATGGTAAAAATCAACCAGTCTTTATAATTCTATAAATTGTCAAAATAAGATATACAAGTGTATTTCGTTTAACACTACTTGGATCAAATTAGACATAAATCAAATCAACTTCTAGTAAAACTTTACATTTTACATTTTACCAAATCACAAAGCAAAATTTAACAATTTACATAAATAATAAAATTGACGAACACGATCAATTTTCATTCAACGAATTTCATAATAATCAGCGTGAAACTAAATTAAGTCAAATTACAGTAATTAATTACGGTAAATGACGAATAACAAAATTAGATGTAAATCAAATTAAATCGTAGTAAAACTTTACATTTTACATTTTACCAAATCACAAAGCAAAATTTAACAATTTACATAAATAATAAAATTGACGAACACGATCAATTTTCATTCAACGAATTTCATAATAATCAGCGTAAAACCAAATTAAGTCAAGTCGCAGTAATTAATTACGGTAAACGACGAATAACGAAATTTGAGAGCAGCATCAGTCAAGAAATTCAATGAATAGATAGTATATGATGTTTCATAACAATCGGTGCAAATGTTCGACAATTTCAGTGATATAGATTTTGTTAAAAATTTAATAATTCTATACATTGTATATATTTTTCTTAACGTGCAATTAACTTCTTGCGCTGGAATAACAGGCACGTCACGCATGTCGAGAATTTTTTGTTCCAAAATTGTAATATTTTCTTAGTTTATATATGTACTAGTTTATATATAATATATGAGTTTTCTCTATATATCTGAGAGTTTCAAAATTGTAATATTTTCTTAGTTTATATATAATATATATTAGTTTATATAAAAATATATGAGTCTTTATATAAAGTATATAAATATATATGAGTCTTTATATAAAGTATATAAATATATATGAGTCTTTATATAAAATATACAAAAATATATAAGTCTTTATACAAAATATATAAAAATATATAAGTTTTAATATAAAATATAAAGCGTGTTTAAGTAAAACAAAAAATAAATTTATTACTTGTCAATAATTTCTATCCAGTGATACCGATACCGACGTGTTGAAAAATAAAGCGACGAATTATTATGTACGTTTGGTTTGGTCACTCGTTATGGTCCGCGATCAGTTGCCAGCGCAACTGGTTAAAGCCTAACACCACAGTGATCCCAATCCTATCCAAATGCTGTCACAGTAAAATCTAACAATAAGTTGCGATAAATCAACAAACAACAATATTCAAGATTTCAGTCGAAAAACTCCTAAATAATTTAATTCACCCGGTTCGAGAGTAATAATATCTCTCGAGAATATTTATGAATATTGGAGGTTCGTCGACGTGCACCGTGGTAAATGATCCGTGATCGTGATTGGAGCATGATCTTTTTCTTTTTTCTTCCTTTCTGTTTCTTTTTCTTTTTTTCTTTCTTTATCTCGCGCGATGTTGTCCAGGAAACGAAGCGATTGCTATGGTTGGAGTAGCGGCGGGTAATCTCGTAAGAACCGTAAGGCCGGCCACGTATCGAGATTCCAGGATAGTTGCCAAGCAGGAAATATTTGCAAAAGGGGAGTGAACGACAAAACCGAATTGCCGGACGAAAGCAAAAAGATGTTGACCGATAAATAATGCTCGGCCGTGCATATGTACAAATATAGTAATCGTTGGAACGTTTTTCTTTTTAACGCGTGCTACTTTGTCACGTCTCTCTCTTTCTCTTCTCTCTCTGTCTTTGCTGTCGTTTTACATTTTTTATATTATATGTTTTAATATTGTTGATACTAAATAATTATATATTATGTTGTAATGATAATTATATTTATAATAATTATATATTATATATTGTATTATAATTATATATTGTTATAATACTAATAATATATTATATATTGTTATAATAATAATATTATAGTTATTAGTTATAATATTAATATTATAGTATAATAGTTATAATAATATTATATATTGTTATAATAATAATTATATTTACAGTAATTATATATTATGTTGTAATAATAATTATATGTATAATAATTATACATTATGTTATAATAATAATTATATGTATAATAATTATACATTATATATTATAATTATATATATAGTAATTATGCATTATACATTATAATTATATATATAATAATTGTAAATTATGTTACATTTTTGTCTTGTCGAATCTTCTTTGCGTCTTTTACAAACGATCATGAATCTGTCATAGTTATGTATCTTACACGCGCGGCACATCGTTGAAATTTTCAATTTCGATGAATTATGTTTGTTTGGAGGAGTAATTGTAATAATGTGTACGTATGTGTCTCGTACATTTGGAGGATATACATTACGGGATTTGTGTAAATTTCGAAAAATAATAATATTGATTTTGTTGGATTTATTGTATCAGTGGGATTTTGTCGAAAGTGTTTTTAATCAGTGGGTGTAACATAAAATATATACGTGTTTAAATAAATGATTCAAACGAGCACCGAATATTTAAACGAGATAAAATAAATTTTGAACGTATTTCAATTTAATTTAAACTCAAAATAATTTACATGTTCTATACTCCGGATTGTTCTAAATTTGTAACTTGTAATTAAATTGCAAATTTTCATAGGGAAGTTAACAAAAATACGTTGGGAATAGAAATGCGTGTAGTAAGAAAAAAAAAAAAAATACTTTTTATAATATTCATTATATAAAAACAATTTTCTATCGATGTTTCTGATTTTTTGATTGACTTTAATTTTTTCAAAATTATGAATTTATATAAAAATTTATAGTCTGGTAATATCAATTTTATCGGACGTAATTGTCATTGAATCAACAATGAATTATTCCTTCTTTCAAGGAATAACTACGAACATATGAATGTGTATGTAATAATTGTATATGTATATATATATATATATATGTATATAACAATTGTGTAGAATGTACATGTATATTTTCTGTCAGTGTCGAAGTTTCATAACCGCAAAATAAATTTAAATCCCGACTCGATTGAAATTGGCGCAAACGCTGTTTCATTTCCTCAACATACGGATGAGGAAACTTAATTTGTCTCAAAAATTCTCACGTCAAATGTTGTGGCTACTGAACGATCACGCGATTCAAAAGAAAGATACGATTACATGAAGTCATGTAAAATGAAAATCACGGATCCGTGTTTACTTCGTAGAACGTGCTACACGCAAACAATCCCAAAAATAGCATTTTCTCTTGTCGCTCCTGTCCTGATACACGTCCCAATTTACATAGGAAACTCGTTTCCTAACGAAGGAAACCGGAAAATTAGATATCCCACGGAATCCAACGATGTCAACGACCCGTGTCCCGTGTCAAACAAAAGGGGGTGAGAAAAGAAAAACCAACAAAGCAGGGGTGGAGAACATGTAACGAGCTGGAGCCTGTATTATCAGCGGAGGCACAATGGTATTTTCTTCTCGCCGTGAGTGAAAAAAAAGAAAAAAAAAAAAAGAAAGAAACAGAAAAAAGAGGAAAAAAAGAAGAAGAGCCGATAGATACGGCATTAACGAGCCTCCATCGCCTTAGCGAAAACCGACCCGAAGGGAATATTGGATTTTTAAACGGGGACCACCCCCGTCTGCACTGTGATTCCGAGCTGATCCAATAAGCTTAAACGGATTTCGAGGTTGCTCTTGCATCGCGAACGTACTGCGGAATATCGTCCGCTTGCCATTCCATCCGAGCAATATCTGTTCAGTGTCGTCAGAAAACCGGTGTCGAGCCGACGAATATTTGAAAAAAAAGAGCAACCCGGCGCGCAGGATGCGTTTCGTGTCGCGAAAATATCGGACGAGACACTTCGAGGCTTTAACATCGGAACAGTATGGCAATGTTCATCGTCGTGGGTCGTGAATTTTGTTGCGTTGGTAATTGGGGGGATTCGTTGTTTCGATTTTTCGGCTCGCTGTTACAGGGTGGTCACACTGAAAGACTGAATGATATAATGTAAAGCAGTATTGTAAAAGAATGATATTATGTTAAATAACAACAAAATATAATATTTTATTAAATAATATAAAAAGATAGCATTATATTAAATAATATAAAATAATAATATTATATTAAATAATACGAAAAGGTAATATTATATTAAATAATATAAAAAAATAATATTATATTAAATAATACAAAAAGGTAATATTATATTAAGTAATATAAAAAAATAATATTATATTAAATAATACAAAAACATAATATTTTATTAAATACTATAAAAAGATAATATTATATTAAATAATATAAAAAAATAATATTATATTAAATAATACAAAAAGATAATATTTTATTAAGTAGTATAAAAAGATAATGTTATATTAAATAATAGTATTATATTAAATAATATAAAAAAAATAATATTATATTAAATACTATAAAAAGATAATATTATATTAAATAATATAAAAAAATATTACATAAAACAAACGTAACTTTTACAAACGTATGTTTTTTAAATTTTTTATTATTTCATTTGAAAATATAATTGATGAACGTTTCTTTCAGTATATTGTGTGTGAAGGAAATAAAATAAAAAATAAAAAAAAAAAACAAGTCACGACTTTTCCAAACCCTTCAGTTTTTCAGTGGCCACCCTATGGTTACGATAGTCGCGATCCTTGCCAGAGGCTCGAAAATGGTACTTACCGCGGACGATGGACAATTTTACAGTGGCTCGCGGTGGAAAAACCAGCGGGGATCGAGGCGCGACAATGATCAACAGCCGAAAGTACGACATCCGTCTGCTCGATGAATCTTTTTGAGTCCTCGAAGCGCTCTGGCGAACGAGTTGTGTACTTCTTATTGGTAGGAGATAATGAAAACATGGCGGCGGTGTGAATAAAACGCGACGTGTACACGCTCGAAAGGTTCGGGACGAAGTTTTCGTGAAATTTACGACCAATTTTCTGGCTTATAACGTTCCGCGTTTTTACGCTGATATCTTTATTTATTCGTTCGCCGTCGTGTCGTCTATTGTTATCGTGTCGAGCAACAACCAACCAACGAAAATCCCTCGCCGAGTAACTGCACGTTGATACGATACGTCGCACAAACAGAGCGATTAATTCCTACTTTTACTTCTATTTGCGATTCGTTTTTCTTGAATAATTATTCCCAGTTTCTCTCTTTTCTTTATGACTTATAATTATCGAGCGTGAAGATTAACTGTAGCAGAAACAGCGCGTTTGTTATTATTTTGTTGCAATTTAGTTTGCCATTGTTATAATTTATTACAACTTACAAGATTAATTAATAAGATTAAATTGTTATCTGTTATAATTTGTAAGATTGAGAAACGTAAGTTCAATGGTTTATTTGAAAACAATGAGGCGAGTGAATTGCACCACACAATTGGTGAAAGTTATAAAAGTCAGCACTGTCGTTTTGAATAAAATTGTACATATATCTTTTATATATTAAACGACGTGTTTTATAATCGTTGTAGAAATCGTGTAATTTGAATTTCAGTGTAAATTGTCTGCTGCCAAAAATATCCAGTTTAGTGATATCAGACTGTTTAATTAACCATTAACGTCTCGCAAATAAGTATAAATGTACATCCGTGAATGTTTAGTGAAACTTTTGAAATTAAAAAATTAACATGTTCCGTTAAGGAGAGAAAAATTGCAAACTCACGTTATTAATGGTGCTGTTGAATTAATAGTTAGCTCGGAAAGTCACGTTTTCAACACGATAAAGTGTCTCAATGATTTTTATTAAAGGCCGATAATTTTAATTTTTTCTTTTTTCGCACGACTGAATATATTGAAAAATAATTAACAAAACGATACGTTCAATTCGTGTTTTATTTCGAATGGTTAGAACTGCAATTTCGTTTTCTAAAATCGAATGTGCTACTTGTCATACTTTTTAATACCTACCATCAACGTTAATAAAGATAAGCTATACAACTGTATACACACAGTATAAATAAAGCGTCATTCACACATATTCAGAATATAAACGTAATATAAAGAGCAGTAATCGCGAATTTAATAAATTCTCATTCAATTCGTAGCATAACATTTACAGCGCATTGATAATTGATTATACAATTGAAACAATTACTAAATTACGGATTTTTATGCACGTTCATATCTTATCGGGAATAATTCAAAAAAGTGGAACTAGGCATAGTTACTGTATTCTGGATATTTTATACCAAACGGATGTCAGGCTCAAATTGACACTGATAAACGAAACTTCGTATTTCTGTATCATGCGCGTTTAAAAAAAAAAAAAAAAAATCATCCACGTAATTACTTATTTGCTTTCTAAAATAATTTGTCCTTGTAAGCTGTAGTATCACAATTTCAAATATTTATTTATTTTACGTGCATTCTGCAGTTTCAAATCTCACCAACTCATAAAAATCCGCTCAGTTATCATAAATTTTCCGTTTCCGTGTAGTTCCGTGCGTCGATTGGAAGTCTCGTCTTTCATTTTTATATGAAAATTACTCAAACATACAACGATTGCCAGAGTCGATGATAATTAATGCTATTATTCAATACGCGATCGCAATATCGAATTGCGTGTCAATGACCCACGCAAATATAGAAACACCAGATAAGAGGTCGACCAGGCGATTTTATTCACGCTGACCCGCATTTCTCTGCAATCGCGGACACAGTCGGTGAAGTAGAAAAATCGCGTTTTAAAGCGAACGAACGTCTGTCTCCGTTCGGAAGGAGCGAAAACATTTATAGAAATCATTTTATGTATACGATAAGGCTGTTATGTTTATCTATGATATTGATTTAAGGACTGTTTCCAAACATCCACATCTTTTTTCTATCTTACATCGACTTATGATGTAATATATTTGCAACTCGTGTGTTTTAAATCACTTGCGCTGGCAATTGATCGCGGACCGTAACGAGTGACCGAATCGTGTACAGTAAGTCGTCGCTTTCTTTTTCTTTTGTACTCGTCGGTATCGATGTCACTGGATAGAAATTATTGAGAAGTAATAAATTTATTATTTGTTTTGTTGTTATTATTCGTTTATTATTTGCCTATTTTGTTTTACTTCAGTATACTTTATACATTTCATGTAAAAACTTATATATTTTTATATATTTTATATAAGAACTTATATATTTTTATATATATTTTTATATTTTTTATATAAAAACTTATATATTTTTATAGTATATTATATCTTATGTATTTTATATTATATTATATTTTATATATTTTTATATATTTTATATAAAAACTTATATATTTTTATATTATATTATATTTTATGTATTTTTATATATTTTATATATATATATATATAAAAACTGAGAAAATATTACAATTTTGGAACGAAAAATTCTCGACGTGGCACGTCATTCCAGCGTAAGAAGTTAAAATAATATAAAGAGACTGTAGGATCATTTTACATATATTGTTAACTCAAATTCGACGAAAATATAATATGGAATCTTATTTCATTCGTTAACACAATATGAAAATTACATTCGTTAACGCTGTAAAATAAAGAATAAAATTTCATAAACACCGTAATAAAATCCGAATATTGATCATATTGACATTGAAATTTGAAAGTATTAGAAATTACAAAGTATTTAATATATATATATATATATATATTGCAGACGTCATAAAATTATTTAATTAACAGACAATTCATTACATTGATAAGTTTCATTATTTAGACCATATTTGACACATACAAGAATTTTTTTTGAATATATTATGAATATATTATGTGTTTTGACACTTCATTAATAATGAGATTTGTTTAGTACGATTATAATTAAAAAGTTTAAAAAAAAATCTAGAAATAGAATTTTCATACATATAGTCTAGGATATTGCCACGATTTTTTTAAGCACTTTCGATGATCTGATGAAAAAATGTTTCGAATGAAAATTAATCGGCGTTAAAAGCACCAGTGAAACTGCAATGTAAAAAATTTCCAAAAATTAAGAATCATTAAGACGATCTTAACATCATTTTCTATTATTCATTTATTCATTCTGTTTACCAACTTTTTTTTTAATCAAATATACGTTCACGATAAATATCTCGCAACTTGTACACATCTTTCCAAATTCGTTTTAAAATTTTTATTAATGGAAAATATAATGACCGTGTCAATTTCGAAATTTCGACAGGTATATACAAAATTTATAAACAGTTTGGTTACGTGTATATTTTCGATTCGTACGATTCAAAACGCGTGCAAAACAGGGAGGAAGAAAAAAAAAGAAAAAAAAAAAAATAAGAAGAGAAGAAAAGGAATGCAAATGGCAGAAGTCCAGTTTCAGAATCGAGTTATCGCCGGTTATTTTATTCGGTCAGTACGGGGCAGCAGTGGCTCTTGTTATCCGATTATGTAATTTACTTTACAAGTGCGCATGATACGTAGAACGATGCGTACGATGGAAGAGAAACGAGCAGGGAGATGCAAGTGGATAATGATGCCGATGGATATATACGTATACGTGTGTGTGTGTGTGTGTGTAGTTGGTTTTATCAGTTATTCAGCGAACCGAATGTCATCGTACAGATAACTGACTTCCCCAAGGATTCGCGTATCGCGGACGACGACTCACTGCGCAGGATCTTTCGATAATGTTATTATAATCGACGCAGAGATTACGTTATCTAAATAGATTGCGGATTTTTATGTGGATTTACAGGATATTGGAAGACGCAGGAATGCATATAATGTGCAAAAACGTATAAAATATCTGACGTAGGATATTTATTATAACATATTAACAAATTTCTAGGATATTTGTAACAAATTTCTATTGTGTGTGTATTATATGAAAAAATATATAAAATATCTGACGTAGGATATTTATTATGACATATTAACAAATTTCTAGGATATTTGTAGCAAATTTCTATTTAGATTCCATTTCTTTGGGTACGTTCACAAAAGTGCGAATGAAAATTTTGTAAATAATTACGGATTTTTATGCATTTAAAAGTGTGGAGATGCAAAAATATATTCTATGAAAAAATATATAAAATATCTGACGTAGGATATTTATTATAACAAATATTAACAAATTTCTATTTAGATACCATTCCTTTGGGTACGTTCACACAAGTGAATGAAAATTTTGTAAATAATTACGGATTTTTATGCATTTAAAAGTGTGGAGATGCGAAAAGGTATTGTATGAAAAAATAAAATATCTGACTAGGATATTTATTATATTTAATATTCATTTATAGTAACAAATTTTTATTTAGGTGTTATAATTAAATTGTGGATTTTAGGAAATTCAATTTCACAAAATGTAAGATACAATTTTCTACTAAAATTCCATTTTTCAAACTACATTCTAAATTATCTTAAAAACCAATATATTTTTAATCGTAGGTAAAATATATTGACACTCGAAACAACTTTCTACCAAGCAACTTCCATTTTCTCGAAAATAATAAATTCAAATAAATATTCTAATTCACACATTTTAGTCCCAATCCTAAATAAAGAAAGAAAGAAATCTATCTCTCTACCGACGACATTGAAACGAGTGTAAATTGAATGTCTCTTCTTAGGAAAAATATCCGAGTTCTATCGATGATAATTTTTTTTTCAATCTGATAAATTTCTTCTAATCATCGAATTAAATTGTATCCTAGAAATCTAACTTTTCACTGTTGAACGTTAAGGTATTCCCCTCGGTATTTTTTCACCGGATCGCCGTCGCATTTTCATATGGTAAACAGGATTCTTAACCAGACGTAACCGTTACCGAGGACATAAGCATGTGCCAAGAATATAAAGCGGCCAGTAGAAGTGTAAATTGTAACGATGACTTTTTCTCGCTGGATACTTGTTATTAGCAACGTGTCTCTTTCGTTTTACATACACGTTCTACGTGCGTGGTTGAAGACTTCCATACAAATGATGAACTATTT